ATTAGATATCCAAAATTAAACCTTGGCTCAACTCTGCAGTATCACTGTCTATTCCACTCCTACCCATGCAGAATTTGTACACTCTCTCTGTCTTCCCTATTTCAGTAAATGGTGCACCTCCACCCAGTCATTCAATCCAGAAAACCAACACATCCTCTCTTTCAACACTCATCCAAATCCATGTTTAGTTTCTTTCAGTAATACTTCCAATATCTAACTCGAATGCAGCCCTTCTCTCCAGCTCTACCACCATTAACTCTTACCTGGACAACTGCAAGAGCCTCCTGAGCGTTCTCCTTAGTTCCTCTCTGACCTCACTCCAAACTGATGCCTACACAGTAGCCATATGGATCTTCTGAAATAGTAAACAGGATTGTGGCTCCTCTACCACTTGAAACTCTTTCATGGTTTCCCACTGCACTTAAAATAAAATACAAACTCCTCACTCTATCTTAATTATTCCACTTACCTCATTCCACACTATCCTTTAGTCTCTATACTCCAACCAAACTGACTTTCTTTCAGGTTTAGTGAAAGCGTCAAGCTTTTTCTCATCTTGGGAAATTTGTGCCTGATGTCCTCTCTGCTCAGAATGGCCTTCCCCTCCAGCTCTGGCTAGTGTCTTCTCATTGCTCATGTCTCATATTCAATTTCACTTTCAAGCAAACATTCCCTAACTATCCAGTCTAAATTAGGTCTTCTCTCCTTTTCTTTATAATAGCACCTGTTCTTTCCTTCTACAGCATTTGAAATAATTTATAATATATTTAGTTGCTTATTTACTTGTTTAATTTTAAACAGGTCTCTCTTATAAACTAACTATAAATTCCATGGAGTAGGTACCATGACTATTCTGCCCAAAACACAGTCCCTAGCATAAAATCATTGACGCAAACTAGGTGCTCAATTAAAATATTATAACTGAATGACTGAATAACATATAATTATATAAATAATGAAAATAGTTTGCTTAGAAAAAGGACAAATGAAGTAGTGGTCATATATTATAAATCTTTGTACTCTCAATAAAAGTAAAATGAATAGCGAATGATCACATATGCCAGGCATGATTATAAAGGCTTTACATATTTTAACTTATTTCTTCCTTATGAGACTCCAATAAAGCAAATACTACCATTATTAGAATTTTATAGATAAAGGAACTAAGATACAGAAGTTGAGTAACTTTCCTAATTTACACAGCTATTAAGCACTAGAGCTAGGATTTGAACCCAGCAGTCTGGCCCTAGAAGCCACATTCTTATACTGCGTTAGATCAGTGATGACCATTAAAAATATTTAACTGCCAGGTTCCTATCAGCAGATACAAAGACCATCAGTTCAGAACAGAGGTTGGCTGTAACTAAGTAAAACGGCTGTAGAAGTAAAAATTAGCTGCATAGCCGCCTTGGCGAAACAGTTCTCTAGAAAGTCTCTAAACAAATTCTCTTCAACCTATTCACCAGAAAAGAAATAGTTACCTCCATTAGGATATAAATATTCTATCTAGTGAGAACTTTTAACAAACTGCATTTACTGGATCCTTGAATAGAAATTAAAAAGTTATGTCCTAATAATGACATTATGTACCATGGCAAATAATCTCATACTACAAAATGTTCTTTAAACTAAAAATATAACTTAGTAAACTAAGAGTATTTTCTTGGGAAAAAAATTATAATCTTTTCCAATTATAAATTCTGTAACTCCTGTGTTGCTTTTATAAAGAAATAACTATTAAATTGGAAATCAAGGAAAAACAAATTTTCAAGGGATTACTAAAATGAGGCTCATGTAACAAAAGACCTCAAATAGCCAAAGCAATCCTAAGAAAAAGGAATAAGGCAGGAGGTATCCCACTCCCTGACTTCAGCTTGTACTACAGAGAAATAATAATCAAAATAGCATGGTAACTGGCACAAAAAAAAGGCACACAGACCAATGGAATAGAATTAAAAACACAGAAGTAAACCCACATAAATATGGACAGATAATTTTCAACAAAGAAGCCAAAAACATACCATGGCCAAAATAAAGCCTCTTCAATAAATGGTCTGGGAAAATTGGAAACCCACATGCAAAAGAATGAAACTTGACTTCTGTCATTAGACTGCTCATGTACAAATTAACTCTAAATGGATAAAAGACCTAAACATAAGACCTGAAACAATAAACTGGATAGGTACTATGCATAGGTACTAAACTTATGGACCTTGGGTTCAAAGAGGATTTTATGAATTTGACCTCAAAGTCAAGGGAAGTAAAAGCAAAAATAAATGAATGGGACTATGTTAAACTAAAAAGCTTCTGCACAGGAAGAGAAACCATCAGTAAAACAAAGAGATAATCAACTCAATGGGAGAAGATATTTGCAAACACCTCTAATAAGCAGTTAATATCCGAACTATATAAAGAACTCATACAACAAAACAGCAAAAATCCCCAAACAATCCAATTAAAAAACAGGCAGAGGATCTGAACAGACAGTTCTCCCAAGAAGACATACAAATGGCCAACAGATGTGAAAAAGTGCTGAACTTCACCAGCTATTAGGGAAATGCAAATGAAAACCACAATGAGATATGACTTCACACCTGTTAGAACGGCTATTGCCAACAAGACAAGTAATAACAAGCGTTGTAGAGACTGTGGAGAAAAAGAACCATTGGTAATACACCATTGGTGGGAATGTAAATTGGTACAGCCACTATGGAAAACAGAATGGAGGTTCCTCAAAAAATTAAGAATGAATTACCATATGACCTAGCAATCCCTCTCCTGGGTATCTACCCAAAAAGAAACTGAAAACGTTTATCTGTAAAGATATACAGAGGGTGACAAAAAATGCATACACATTTTAAGAAAGAGAAATTGTATTAAAATTGTAATAATATATACTGATAACAAAAGATAAATACAAACAAGTCACATATGACTTCTGCAATTACAAGAGGTGCTCAAAGTGGTTACCATCAGAGTCCAGACAGTTCTGATTATGGCAAACTACTGCTTGAACAACATGTCCACTTGTATATTTTTTTGACACCCCCAGGTAGGTACCCTAGTGTTCACTGCAGCATTATCCACAGTGGCCACGTCACAGAAACAATCAAATTGTCCTTCAATAGATGACTGAATAAAGAAGACGTAGTCCATACATACAATGGACTACTACTCAGCCTTAAGAAAAGATGAAATACTGCCATTTGCAACAACATAGATGGATCTTGACATTATTATGGTAAGTGAAATAAGTCAGAAAAATTCAAGAACCACATGACTTTACTCATATATGGTATTTGAAACTAAAGGCAACAAAGGAATAAGACAAACAAAGAAACAAAACTTATAGACAATAGTTTAGTGGTTCCCAGAGGGTAAGAGGGGAGGAGGAATGGTAGAATAGTGAAAAGGGGTCAAATATATGTTGATGGAAGAACTGACTCTGGGTGATGAGCACACGATGCAATATATAGACAATGTATTATAGAATTACACACTTTGAAACCTATATAATTTTACTATCCAATGTCATTCCAATAACTTTAATAAAAAATAAATAAAAAGAGGCTCATGTAATAAGTAAAATGAAAACAGGAGCTAGACTGATACTTTCTTACATGTGTCATATCTGAGAACCTATGTATTAAATACTTCGTGAGCTTCTAAAGGACAGGGCAGTAGTGTACTCGTATTTACTACCACAGTGTTTGCAATGCATATCTCTGGCAAGCCATAAAGTGGTATTTGTGTTAGACTAGTAAGGATTATAAAAATAAGTCATCCAACTGAATAGAGAGAAAGGTATATCCATGCAGAGGGAACCACGCGAACAGATAAAATGTTAAAAAGTAGCTGGCAAGTTGAAAACAAACAAATAACCCAGAAAGTATTCTGGTGTAGAAAAACCTGAGACGTGTGGTACCAAAAAGTCAGCCTTCAGAAGGTACAGAATAATAACTTCAATATGAACTGGTATTAAGAATGGCAATCAGGGCCATGAATTCATAGTCAGAAATCTGACATGGAGGCATTTTTATAATATTATTAAACATATGAATTGCAAAGTTATATTTTTAATTCCAGAGAACAAATCCCTATTCAATAATAAGAATCATAATACTCTAATGGTTTTGCTCAGTGAGCAAGCAACTATTCTATAATCTACAATATAACTATTCTACAATATAAAAACAAGTCAATTCCAGTTGATACATGTTTCTCCTTAGCACTTTGATTCCTTTGAAACATTTCACCTTTAAAAGCAGTCACTGACTTTACAGAAAGGGGAGAGAGAAGGCAAGGTGTGAGCAAAATATATCGAAGTTATAGAAGAGGGCATAGCACATTACCAGGATAAGAAAAATTACACTGGGGTCGGCCGTGTGGCACCTTGGTTAAGAGTTGGCTTGGGAGTGCCGGCTCTGAGCAGCAGGGCCGCGGTTCGGATCCCATATGAGGGCCATTGATGCTGCGTCCTCTACAGCTAAGATGGTGAACAACAGCTCGACCTGGAGCTGGGCTGCCATGAGTGGCTGGTGACAATTAGGCTGCAGCGGGGCTGCAGTGGGCTGCCATGAGCTACCATGAGTCACTGTGAGCAGCCGTTCAGTGGGCAGCGACTGATTGCCTCACCCGGGAAAAGCGCAATGATAATACCAACATGGGGCAGTGAAGCGATGTCCTCCACAACTAGACTGAAGAACAAAAGGACAGCAACTTGTCTGTTCCCCTTCCTCGATTCCCCAAAGCTATTTCCCTCCCCCAATTCCCCAATAAAAATCTTAAAAAAACACACACAGAAAAAAAGAAAAATTGCACTGGTGACACTGCTTCTTGGGCTGATCTACTTCTATTACTAGTATTTCTCATTCCAGGATATTGTATATATGAAGGGCAGTTCAATGCAAAATTTTACCAACACGGACAGTTTGTGGATAAAACTAGAAAAATAAGGGATAAGGAGAAAAAAAAGATCAGAAGACTATTCCACTACTAACCTGGTTTAGCTTCTTCCAGAGATTGAGGACAGGAGAAAGTTCATTAGACCAGATTTCTCTATCAAATTTGCAACCAGCTGTTACTGATCTGCCCAATATCCTCAACTGTGAAATAACCTGAATGAAGAAAACAATAAGTAGCAATAAATGAAAATGACTTCAGGAGAAATAGCATAGGTACAAAAACAGCCATATTTATCTTATAAAAATAAAGACCAAACATAAACAAGTTTTAATCCCATTATCTTTGTGCAATTGGCTTAATAATTTACTAATTTATTTAAGCAAATAACAAAAGAACTTAAAATTGAGAAACCATTATAAAATTACATATTTTAATGGCTCTTATTTGAAAAGCTAATTCTTTACCCAGAAAGCTCTAATTATCCATTATTAATAACCTCCTAGAGTCTCTATTTGCTTATTTCTGAAATCGAATGTTTTTCAGTTTGATTACTTTAAATTTCAAAATTCTGTAAATGAAAAATAGTTTTTTTGAAAAGATGAAATGACAGGAAATATTTTAAGTAGCATAGCAAAATGTATAAAACAGTAAGACAATTTAAGTAATTACTGGTTGGTAAAAAATATCAAAAACTGTAAGTATTAAGGCTCTATATTAAGGCTCTGTTGTCATCTTAATGTTTCCTATACATTTAAAATTCAAATGAAAGACGTATAGATCAATTAGTGAAAACAAGGCCAGGCAAACAAATTTTCCCTATTTAGGACCTTCACTTCCTTATCATCAGCTTTTTTATCATCATAATCAAAATCAATTCACTCATTTTCTTTTCCTTTTTCTCTTATTTTTTTGGGGGGGGAACATAACCCATTTTTATTGAAAAAATATACATACAAGTAAAAACTGTTTCACTTAGTCCCAACATTGATAGTTAATCAGTTTACACCTAATAAGTATCCTTCCAGATTTCTGTGCACTTACACATGTACAAATATTTTTACAGAAATTATGATCATACTATCAATACCCTGCATAACGTTTTTGTTTTTTTGGGTTTTTTTTAGCTGAGCCATCCTGCCACCTGTTGGCAGCTCAGCTGGGGCTGGGCATCAAGCCGCTGCTGCATAACGGAATCTTGATGTCAGTTTAGATCTTTATCTTATTTGGCGTGCATACAGGTCTGCATCACTGAAGCTGTATATCCTTCCACTGTATACATACACCAAAATTTATGTAATTCGCTATCACTGGACATTTTTGCTTCCCTAATATTTAGACATTGTAAACAATGCCTAAAACAACATCTTTGTAGCTCTATATCTGGTATAATTACTTCCTTAGGCTAAAGTCCTAAAAATTGGAATTGCAAGGTCTAAGAGATTATGAGCATTCTTAAAGCTTTACAACATTGTCTTTAAGGTGTTTGTTATATCTTGTTTCCAAACAGATTCCTCTGTCTAGCCCATGCCCAGTCTACAGTTGTCAGAACAGGTGAAGAAGGTCAGGGCACCCCAATCAAGACTCCTGCCCAGTCTGCCCGCCTTTGGTAGTTGAGCAGCTGAGGCAATGAACTGGACAGAATTCAAATATTCTGTTGGCATCACAGGGGCAATCTGGAATATCGTTTTCTTGAGGGATATTTTCAACAGAGATCCAGACGGGGACAATCCCTCTGCCATATCTGAGAATCTGTTCCGATTCCAGGACTATTGTAGATTTAAACTTCTGGAAAATTTTATGTTTTCTGGATTCATGTTTTGCCATGGTATCCAGTTACTCCTCAAGTACTTCACCCATGCTCCCTATAATCTCTGATTCATCCTTTTCTGCAACTTCAGGTGTAATCTCATCTTCTGTTTCTATTAGTATTTCAAATTCTAGAAAAAAGAAATTGTGGTCTGGAACCATATTGTCCAAATTATCTGAATGTGTATAAGCCTGTTTATGTCCCCATCTCCAGTCTAGAGCCTGAAGCTCCTTACTGCAGCTCCTAAAGCATTTTTAGGGACAAAATAGCCACAAAACCCTGCAGAGATGAACACCAGGCATGAGATGGAGGCACACGGATGCTCCCATCTCTGGGGGTAGAATCCTCACAAGGTGGCTCAAATGAGGAAAAGTCATTTTTCCTGGGCAGCTGATTTCTAAAAACACACAGGCCTGTACAACACGGGGGTGCCCCACAGCAGAAGAGGAGCAGGCAGCGATGGAAAGCATCCACTTGGCAGGCAGGGGCGCAGGCGGCTGCGGCTGGAAGGCGGGTGGGCTCCACACAGTGTGCAGGCCAGCTCCAGGGCCCAGGCTGCCCAGCTGCACCTCACCTTTTCGTTTTCTTTTTCCTTTCTTTTTGAGTTCTTGACTACTGTTTTTATTTTTGGTTTTCTTTTGTTTCTTTTTTTTTTTAAATTAAAATTTATTGGGGTGACAATGGTTAGTAAAATTACATAGGTTTCAAGTGTACAATTCTATAATACAGCATCTATATATCACATTCTGTGTTTACCACCCAGAATCAGTTCTCCTTCTATCACCATATATTTGACCCCGTTTATCTTTATCTACCATCCTCTTCCCCCTTCCCTTCTAGTAACCACTAAACATTTTCTGTGTCTATGAGTTTTTGTTTCTTTATTTGTCTTGTTTTTTTGTTGCTTTCAGTTTTATATTGCACACATCAGTGAAATTATATGGTTCTTGACTTTTTCTGAGTTATTTCACACATTTTTTTTCTAAAATAGTGTTGAATGAGTTCCATTTCAATAACATCAACTAGCCTTCTTAATCAGGTGCTAAGAATAATCCAGAATGTCACCAAGTATTCATATTATATTGCAGATATTGATTGTGTGTATAAACTCAGTGAGGTATCCAATGATTCTTCTTCATAAATATTTCAACTAAATATTAAAATCATGCTGTCTCATTGTTTATCTGACATAAACAAAATAAATCCAAAAGAAAAGGCATGTTTTCCTTAGCTAGTATATTAAACATCAACATTTGCAGCATGTTGACTGCTTTTCTGTTTTACTTTTTGAGAGATTTAAAAAAAAAAAGATCGGGCTATATTTCATATTTTGTTGGGTTCTTGTATTTTAAAGTTCATAATAAAATAAGGGCCATAAATCTTTCCAAATGAATGTACTACTTAATTGTTAAAAATCCACAATCATGCTGTTAAAGTCAACTTACTTTTAGAGCTTCTGATTCATTCTATAATCTTGAAAAAACTGTGGTGAATCTGTTTCATTTTCTTTGTTATTCTGATAAATTATTTTCATTTGTTCTAGCTGAACCCTACACAACACCTAATTTATCAGCTTTGCTAGACTACAAAACTTCACTAGTTGGTAGTCAGAAGTGATGCTATTTTAACTCTGGTAACATTTCCTATCACTTATTTGTGTTTTAAATTTGTCAAACATGGCAGAAAACAAATAAGAATGCAAAAAGATGTCTAAAGGAAAAAAGTTTCAAATATTTTTTCATACATGATGTTAAAAACTATTTTAATGTACCCTCCACAGCTAAGATTGAAGGACAACAACTTGACTTGGAGCTGATGGGTCCTGGAAAAACACAATGTTCCCCTTCCCCAATTCCGCTTCCCCAACACTGCTCCCCTCCTCAATTCCCCATTAAAAATTAAAAAACAAAACAAAACAAAACTATTTTAAGAATAAAATCTTTGCTAGCCCCAAAAATGTCATTTTTCATCCTACAAAAATAACAAGTGAGGCTTGTGTTTTGTTTCTTTGTTTTGTTTTGTTTTAATTGGGGAATTGGGAGGGGAACCAGCCAAGTTGTTGTTCTTCAATCTTAGTTGTGGAGGGCTCCAGTCGCCATCTGGCTGCCCATGGCCTCTAAGCTCAAGGTGCTGTGTTACAAACTTAGTTGCAGGTGGGTGTAGCCACCATCCCATGCGGGAGCTGAACCAGCAGCCTTGTTAAGAGCACATGCTCTATCCACTGAGCCATTCGAGTGGCAGCTCCCCTCAAGGTGCCGAGTTCAGTCCTAGTTGTGGGTGGGCATAGCCACCATCACATGCCATGTGGGAGTTGAACCAGCATCTTTGTTGTTGAGAGCACGGTCTCTATCCACTGAGCCATCCCAGTGGCAGCTCAGCTCAAGACCTAGCTTAGTCTTAGTTGCGGGTGGGCACATGCTCTCACCAGCTGAGCCATCCTTCCACCTGTTGGCAGCTCAGCGGCAGCTCAGCTCAGGTGCAGCGTCACTGGCTCATGTGGGAATCAAATCGGCAGCCCTATTGCTCAGAGCTCACATTCTTAAGCTAACTCTTAACCAACTAAGCCACTTGGCCAGCCCAAGTGAGACTTGTTTTCAATAATAGAATCATAATATATTGTAATGTTTAATGAACAGAGTAATAAAAAGGAATTTCAAATAAGAAAAATATTTTTATAATGAGGCTAGGGCTATAACATAACGATGGACCATCTTTTGTTTTTACAAATCTTAATATTTATCCTTTTACAAAGCACAAATAAAATGTCTTCCTATTACTCATGTTTTAAACCATTTCAAAAAATACTTTATTCAGTACAGTCATGCACTGCTTAACAACTGGGATACGTTCTGAGACGCATCGTTAGGCCATCTGTCCTTGTGTGAAAATCAGAGTGCACTTACATAAACCTAGATGGCACAGCCTACTATACTCCTAGAACGTGTATATACAAATCTAATATGGTAGAGCCTATTGCTCCTGTGCTACAAGCCTGTACAGCATACTGCTACTGTACAAAATACCACCAAATTAAATCAAGCACGAGAAAATGATACAATCAAGAGACACAGTAAACATGAGATATATGAAGCTGCTGCCAGTGTAACACAGAATGCTACTCTACAACAAACTTTTTATAAGTAGAAAGAATACACCCTAAATTAAAAAGTATACAAGTATAATATACCAAATAAATAAGCAAACCAGAAACATAGTTATCATCATTATCAAATATTACGTACTATATGTGCTATACTTTTATACAATTATGCTTGTATGTGCTATACTTTTATAAGACTGGCAGTGCAATAGGTTTGTTTACACCAGCATCAATACAAGCACGTGAGTAAGCATAGTGCTACGACACTATGAGGTCACTAGGCAATAGGAATTTTTCAGCTCCAT